GACTTCTTGTTACCTAATTTCAACAGATTTACATGGCTACAGGGACTTATCTAGTATTTGCACTGTCTGATTTGTTGGTTTGCATTCCTCTGTGTAATGCCATACTTATACAGATGCCTTATGATCTGCCAGTTATGCTAGTGTGATTGTCATTACAGATATTCTAACCTAATTATTAGTAACAGTTGTTGCAATATAAATATTATATAGATAATTATTCAAATTTTTGTTGTCAATAGGATTTGAACATCTAACCTACCACTTAAGAGGTTAACAATCTGACCATTTCACTAGGTCACCATACCCCTAAATTTAGTTATTTTAATTCTATAAATTCATAAAATTAAAATAAAGAAATTTCATCGAATTCTACTATATGGTTGTAATAATATCTTTATTCAAACTTTTAAACATCTAACTAAATTAAAAGCTGTACTAAAATTAATTGAATTTTGAACAATGATATCTCTGCAACTATTTAATAGAATTCAATAAAAATTGGTTTATTTTAATTCTATATATTCATAGAATCAAATTAAAAAAACTTCATCTAATTCAACTAAATGGTTACAGAGATATCTTTTTTTAAACTTTTAAATATCTAACTAAATTAAAAGCTATACCAAACTATTTGAATTTTGAATAAAGATATCTCTACAAATACTTAATAGAATTCAATAAAGTTTTTTTTATTTTAATTCTATTAAATTGTAAATTTAAAATAAAATAAAATAAAAATATTAAATTCTATTAAGAAATTGCTTTGATATCTTTAAATATTATCTAATAAAATAAAACTGCATTAAAATTTTAGAATTTTATTTAAATTTTGTATAAAACTCAATCTGTAATACATTTATAATATAGGAATTTAAATTTTATATAAGGTAAGCATTTAATATTTGCATTTTTCATTTATATAAAACTACTTTGTATATTTTTTTAATTGTTCTATTTAAATTATTTTATTTATCAGTTTGGCCTTACAGGACTGATTCACATACCTACCCACTAGCTGTTATTATAGTTCACTATTTGGCCATAAAGTCATTTTGTTCACCCACCTATTTAGAATTATTGAATTATTTATTTACTATATTTGTAATAAAGCTGCTTCACCTACTCATTCTTATTTATTGGTAATTATTTTAATTATTTATATTTAAACAATTAAATTGTAAAAAAAATAACTAAAAAATTTTTTAATATTGAAACAAAAGTTTCTGCTCTTTCAATGTTTTTACTAACTACAGTATTCTAATATTTATTATGCATCCTTTTATTAAATTTATTTATGGTAAACTTTAGATTTTTAGTTTTTTTTTGTTATTTTTTTTGTACAAATTCTACTATTACTAATTCACATTCTTTATAAACTTCAAAATCATTTTTTTTGAATATTTCTTAAAATGTTTTTCACACATTAGTGGTTAATAATCTAATAGCATCATAAGTATGTTTATGAAAAATATAATAGCAAGACAATGTGTAACAAATATAAAAGAAGCAATAACAGTCTAGTAAAGTTAAACCCAGCATACCTTTATCTTTTTTGAGTCTGTTCATCATAGTGCAGGCTTTTTTTACTAATAATTGTTAAAATAGGTAAAGAAATTTATAAATTTTTTTCAAAATATCATCTGTTATATTATATACAAATATTTTTTTAATTCAGAATCAAAAGTGGCATACTTAGAATCAAACTATTTTTTATTATTAAAAGCAATAATGTTATGTGCTGCATCAAAAATAAATATTAATAATGAAACTTTGATATCTTTTTTTTTAAAAAAAAAAAATTTATAGAATTTTCTACTTATAATTTTAAAAAGTTGTAGACACAATAGAATATAATAAACTATTATATATCTATTAAGCTGTAAAGTAAAGATGTTATTCTTTTCAACTCATTGTGATAAGATTTTGATAGGTTCATAGAGATAACTTGAAAAAGCAAAGAGAAATGTTAGCATGCTTACAATCTCTATTGCTGAGTATTTTTTTTGTAATTTTTTTCAATATAATTTTGAATAATAGAGATGAAGCTACAGTTAATAGCATTCTGAACAAATTTTTTACTACTAATTTTGGTTCTTTTATATATTGCTATGACTATAAGATTCTAAGATTCTTTTTTATAAATTTTAAATAACCAAACCTTTATTGTATGAATAATACAAAAGATTAATTTACATTCTTGTTCACTAATGTTTACATTAAAAAACATTTTTTTAATACTCTTTGCCTTAATACTGCTTTGATCAGAAAGTATATATTAGAAAAACCAGCAATAAAACTTATTTTAAATTATTTTTAATACCTCTTTAATGATGTTATTGTCTTTAGTACTAATAAAAAAATATGCATCTATATCTTAGCAGTCATAGGTGTTATGAATATATAAAATAAAAAGGTACTAATTATACCTATTAGTTTTACAAGTTATATCAATAAACATCAATAATTCATGATATTGGAATTTTTTTAATTACATAAAATATGCAAAAATAATGTTTTTAATATTTTTTTGAAAAACATAAAATTTTTCAACCTGATATCCATGTTCTATTAAAAATGATATAATATTCAAAAAATTTAAATTTATCAATAAGATGAACTTCTATCAACCCACAAACTTTTTACTTAATATTGTTTATTTCTTTTCATTTTAATTTACATATACTTGATCCAAAACCAAATTTAATCAACATGAATTCTTTTATGACAACAGTTATTATTAAAGATGAATAATTTTTAATTGTTTTATTCTCTATAAGAGTTTGAATTGCTTATAAATACTTGATCATATTAGGTTTTTTCAAAGAATAACTGTAACTTGAAGAGTTTTTATAATGTTTAACTTGTATTATTTGTAACAAAACTAATCAGAAAACTTTTAATTTTATTTTATATAATTCAAATGGTCAGGTTTTTATAACTTAACATTTTTCTATTAGAATGTTTTTCTTTTGTCAAGTACTAAAACTTTGATGTTTTGTAAAATAACAAGCAAATATTTTATAAACATTACTGTTTACATATTTATAAGAATTCTATTGTGTTCAAACATTTGATACTAAAGACTACCAATTGTCATCAAAATCTTTTATTGAAATCTTCAAAAGAAGATTTATATCAAAAAGAAGATTCTGTCTGTTATCTGAAGTAAGATTTGTTTTTAATATAAATGCAATACAAGAATCTGCAGTCTGAGAATATACCAAATTTGATCATTAATGATCTCACTTTATTTGGTAAATGATCATCAGTCAGATGATTCTAGATTTCATGGCACATGAACATGAACCAATCAAATTAATCAAAAGTTCTATATACAAACAAATAACTTATTATTAATGAAACTATAAGCAAAGTTTTACTTTTTATTAAACATTTTAAATAACGATTTTATTCTGATTAATCATTACTGTCTTTACCAATTCTATATTACAATATTTAGTTTGTACTATTAAACAATACTACCTGTATAGACAATATTATTTAACAATGCTACTTATAAATCAATTTGCAATCTAAATCTACTTTAACTGTTCTAGGCATTCTCTTCTGTGAACTATATTGATACCTATATAATAGTTAAATTAAAATATGAAAGTTGTAGTATAAATAAGTTCTTAGATCTTTATTTAAACATAAATACAAAACTTCAAAGTGATCTTAAGTTAACTGATGATGATTCCTAAATTTCTATATGAAATAAATACCTCTTTTTAACATCTTATTTACTTTAACCAAAAGTGTTTACCACAAGGGATTCTTTGAGATGATTGAAACTAGACGTTTTAAACTACATAATCAAAATTTATTAGACTCTAATAACTATCAAAAAAAAAAATTTTCAAAGATGCATGATGTTTGAGAGATAAAAGGAGTAAAAGACACATGAGAGCCAATCAAAATCAAGTATCTATTCATAAATCATTCTAGAATGTAATTTTTTAATTTGGTATATTCTCAGACTGATCTAAGTCCATTGTTTGTTCAAAATTTTTTTTTTAAATTGTAATAAAAAAAAAATACAACAAGCAAAAAAACCTATTTTATAGAAAAATTGATGCAAAATAACATTAGGGCTAATTTCATCAATGCACAATGTTAAGTTTGATAAGTAAAAATAATGTCTAGTTTGTAATCAAAAAAAAAAAAAACGAATCCAAAGCAACTTAAAGTCCAGTTCAAGTTTGTTTATACTATACTTTGTAGCTAATACAAATAATATAGCAACAAAAAAAAAGAAGAAATTTACAAGTTTGGTGATAGTTAAAAGCCAGCGCAACAAAAAAAAACTTTGTAGATTAAAAATTATCGTTGGCCAATTACGATTATCGTCTCATCTGGCAAATAAATTTGGTCATGTGATCACATGATTCTACTCCACTTTAGACGTCCCCTACATCAGGGACGTTCTGTTCTGTTTACCGATTCTCAGCCGTTGTACGGGTCAACCAATTAAGAATTTGCTCCACCGGTTTCCCGATATTTATTCGGTTCAGGTCGGTTAACCGATTATAGCCCAACCGGTTTAAATCACTAAAATAATGTTTGTTTGATGGGCATCACGTGCTCCATAATTTTCGTGGTCTCTGAATATTTATGCAAATATTTAGCTTTGGAATAGAATAATGTTAAGCAATAGGCCAAGTACTGAAAAGCCTCAGCATGTGAAGGTTCTAATCAAAATATATGCGCTACGGCACCAAAAGGATCCGATCCAGGTATCGATCAAATCAAAGTATTATTGTTTAATATGGTTGATTAGAACAGTTTCAAAGAACAAAAATGTACATATACTTTTAGGATTACAATTTATTAAAGAGATAATGAATTCGGTTAAACACAAAATACTTGTATTATCTGGTAAAGGAGGGGGTGGTGAAAGTATATTTACAGCACAACTTTGATTTTCTTTTGCTAGTGAAGAAAGTATTCAGGTAATATTAGCATAAATTTATAATTAGAGATTGGGGTAATGGATATTGATGTATGTGGACCATCAATTCCGATTAGAAGAAGAACAAGTTCATCTAGATGGTCGCCGGTTTATATACAAGATAATTTAGGAGTTCTGTCGATAGGATTTATGTTATCCGATCCAGATGAATAGTTATTTGGCGTAGACCAAAGAAAAATGGTAATATGAATTATTCTCTAAATATACGTATAAAACGTCCAATAAGAGCATCGTAGGATGCATTCTATAGTAAAAAGGGTGATTAATATTACAATATTGCAATGTTAATATGAGAGTAATTATTTTTCTTTTGTAGATTGGGGATATTTAGACTTTACGCTGATTGATACACCACCTGGTGCATCCGATGAGATAAAACATTTATCAATTGCACAATATCTTAAAGAAAGCGGAATAGATTGTGCAATTATAATTACGGCACCACAAGAAGTAGCATTGTAGGATCTGTCCAAATTATAAGGTATTCATTTATTGATTTAGCGCATATAGGGTGAAACGATCATTTTTGCACTAACAACGGGTGGTGCAAAAAAAAAATGGCAGAAGATCTGAAAGTTAAATGTTTGAGGTCAATTCCTTTGGATCCTAGAATTGGTGAGCATTTAAAAAATATTTGATTTATTAAAATTATTTACTCAAGATCACTAGGAAAGCATGCGACACAGGTATATCATTTATTGATGAATACCCGGATTCACCAGCTTGTAAAGCTTATTTGACATTATTCCTGGTAAGTACTTTTTTTTTATTCAATACCAGCTTTAATAATAAATAATTAATAAATTTTACAATATTTTCTTAATAGAAATCAAGAAGCAGTTTACAGATTAGTAATGGTTTAATTGATTTTGTTTGTGATCACAGACTGTATTGGATTAATTGTATATGATCTTTATTATGTTGTTGCGACTAGTTACAGGTTGTAATAGGGTATATCATCCAATTAACGATTAATATATATAGTTATATAATTGTATTAATATTTTACACATCTAATATACATTTTTTTTTATCTGTGTCTATGAGTATAAATAAACAATAAAATGTAAACTAATTCTATAGTAATCAGATCCGTAAGACATTAAATTGAGGTCATTTATTAACTTGTTTAAAAAGAAATACAATCGTCCCACCATATAGTCACCTCCCATATAATCACGTCATATGTAATCACATTGTGTTTAGGCCAAACTATGATTTAATTTATAAGAAAAATCCTTTTTAAAAAAAATTTGCTATGTGCCTGTGATTGTATGGGAGGACGATTGTATATAAATTTCGATTCTGCAAAAAAAAAAAAAAAAAAAAAAGAAAAAAAAAACCAGCTATAAAAAATATTAAGATTAAAAGTGTGGTACGGAAGTATATTTAAAGTCCAGCTTTGGCTGATAAATCACGAATGAATATCGCACGATTATTGAAATTCTAAAAATATAATACACTCTACCCTCAAAAAAGACTATAAACCCACGAATCACGTGAACATTAGATTATATTATGTATTAATCCAATTTGTTATCGGTTAGGGTTATATAGATTCAATTTTTGAGAGAGTAAAACTGTATATGAAACAATTATACATAAAGATAGTAAAGCATCAGTGAGTTAACCAAATATATCACGTGCCTTTACAAGTTTATAATCATTATTTTTTACAATCAATATATAATTTCAACACGCAGTTTTTCCATTCCATTTTTTCTCTCAGCTTTAGATTTACTGGAACCATTATTCTTCGCCCTCATAGTCTTCTTTAACAGTTTATATTTGGTAAATTCTGGGTCTCTATTGGTATCGCCACGAACCGCACCCTCGTTTAATTCTAATTCAGTTGAATTAACTAGTTGATTTAGCAAACGTTTAGATTGTAGTTTATGAACTTTTGTATTATGACGACGTGTAGAGGATTTAGAAGGTTCGCGATCCGAAGATTCCAGCACCTGCAATGGATCATCCGAAGAGGATTTAATGTCCTCGTAATCTTTATCATAGTCACCTTTCAGTATATTATTTTCCGTATTCGAGGTTTCCGCAGATGCTGCGGTATTTGGGGCCGGGGTTTGAACCTCCGGAGTAGCAGGAGTAGCTGTTGGAGCACCCAATACTACGCCTTTCTTTTTATCAGTTTCCTCCACTTTATTAGCGTCATTAGTGATGTCATCAGTAACATTTATTAAATTTTGTTTCTTGTTTCTTCCACCCCACTTTGTAGCCGCAGCATAGGTTGGATGTTTATGAGCTTGTACAAGCTGATATTCGGAATCTTCATTCTCATCATCGCTCATAGAAGAATGATGAACAGTATGGACGGTAATACGTTGAGCTAGTTCCATATCTTCTTCAATATCCCATTCATTAATCTCTTCCCAATGTTCGTTGGCCATTTTTTATTGTTTGATGAGTTGAACTTGTTAAAGTAATTAAAAGTCGAAAAGGTAAAAAAGGAAAATTAAAGAGAAATAAAAACGGGGAAATAATAGGCGTGTAGGAAATTCTATTTAATAATAATTGTTTTTTTATATACTATATTAATATTATTGTTATTTATTTGAAGACGAGATGGGGAATGCTGTAGGATTTTTATATTGGTACGTATATACAGCTACGCCACACAACGCGTACAAATAGAACAAAGCAAACGCTCAACTCCAAAAAAACTTTATGCATGTCCCATGACCTCAATACCCGTATATTTTCCCAAAACAAGTAACCCGCAGTTACGTAATTAATAATATTCATTATAATATTCACTCAGATGACTACGTATAACATTACTAAAGGTTTCAATAAAACCCGTCACGTCGGGTAAATAATACAGTTTTAAACCCATAAGCAGTTAAACTAAAACAGTTAAAATTTAATGTTTATATGTAAGGATAGGCCGACACATAATGAAAAAAGGATATAAAGTATGCCACAGGTCTTATCACCACTAATGTTATTTGAAGGACGCATGTTTTTTATATGAGATTCTATGCCGAATTTATATGCGTATTACGATATCGCATTTAAGTTTATTTTTAGTCACAAAGTTGAATTACTTTATTTGGAAGCCATTTTATAATTTTTTTCAGCAGTGTAATGCATTAAAGAAGGGCACAAGTAGGCACGAAATGAACAAATCATATAAATATTTATGCCCAGGTGCCGTAAATCGTGAGGTCAAAATGCAGTGATTGCGATTAAAGACAGTACTCATATCCGCAGTATACGCAGTAGCCGTAGTAGAATTAATCCGTGAAGATACTTTCTCTTGATACTATGAGAATAATATATAAAAATTGCTAATTGATAAACGATTTTTTAATTTAATTTAATTTTTTATTCACATTGTTAAAATGGCATTTATTTATTCATTTTATTTATTTATTTACTTATTATTTCGCGTAAACTTTGACATTTAAGAAAGAAACGTCACGGTTTCTGCATCTATGCAAGTTCATACATAATAAGAACGATCATACGATAACTGTATAATAATGATTATGAGTCATTAAAAAAAATGCATATTCAACAAAGAAAAATGATTCAATTATTACATACATAAAAGGTTATGAAATGAACAATCGCTATTTCTGAGTTACGTTCTTCTAAATACTTGCGCTATAATCGTGCATTAAAAATGTCGATCCGTCCCAAAAGCCGATAAGAGATAGAAAACGAAAGATTCGTTGATAAATCTATTAATATTAATGTGGCACACTACACACAACGATAACGAACTTAAAGGTCATGAGGTTAAACGAATTTTGGCTGTGCAGCTAAGCAATATTTATCATAATTTTTAATGATGATCCATTCTCATAAAGGTTACGCATGACGAATTTAATGACTCATGATGGTTCTACCGTAATTTTCCTATATGAATTTGATTAGTCCGAAATATGTCCCTTATTTAACGCTTATTATTTAGAACGAACAGTACTCCCTAATCAATGATCAATCTCTTACTAAAAATAATACTAGTAATAATACAAGAGATCGTACCAGAGATAATACCAGAGATAATACCAGAGATAATACCAGAGATAACACCAGAAATAACACCAATGATGATACCACAGATAATACCAGAAATAAAATAAAAGATTTACTATCAAATACCCTTTACGTTTTTTTTTGCTCTCCATTTTACTATTTTATTACTATGTAGCAAGTTTTTTTTTTTTCAACTATAACTAACTGCATGAGGTTATCCTGCTCCAATGTTTCAAAGTTGAAAAATTATCAGAACTTATTTACGCCTAGATAATCTGTCTTACAAAATGACAAAATGCCAAAAGAACGTGCCTCATACAAAACAGCTTATTCGCGTCTAGATTTACGCATTGATTATCAATTCAGATTTGCTTATATTTATTTCATATAATTAAAAATCATGCGCTAATCGGTATTGAAACTCAAAAGACTCAAATTTTTGAAAAAAAAACGATCATAAGCACGTTCCATTATAGACTATGCAACAGGTCACCTTCAAAAGTCCTTCCATTATTCTGTAAAATAAATAATATTTAAAATTATTATAAAATAATAAACCAAATAATTAAATTTAAGCAATTTTTGACTGTCAGGGTTAAAAAGCTCTACTATTATTATATTACTCATTCATTAGAATGTCTAAATAAAACATCCTAATGTCGTGTGAAGAAATTCAATACATCATCCAGTCTTTTTTTTTTGTATATGAAATATTCATACCTTCGATCCGTTTGTAAGTTCTTCACAAAATGACTAATTGCTCAAGAATCTAAGAAATAGTCAAAAATACCCGGATAAAAATAATACAGTAATTCATGACTGGATAGAAATTTACGTTGTTAAAAGTGCTAGTTAAAATAGCCAAGGTCAGTTTGAGGTTGATGTTGGCACTATTATTATATTTTGGAATATTCATATTTTTATTCGATTGGTTATCGATTCTTGAGATTTCATTGGTTGTTTAACCGATAATCAAATCACTAACTAATCTGACTAAATTTACCTGAAACAAGCACAAAGAACAAATTTTCTTTACAAGTTTTTTACAATTCGTCAACATAGAATTTTCTTCGTCTGCGATGGTAAGTTTAATTTGATATAGTCTGATTCGTTAACATAGCTGTGCGCTAAAACCAGGAACGGGTTCATAATAAGGTAGTGCATGGGTTTATAAATAATTTGTTTACAGTAAATACGTTAATACGTATTTGTATCGTAATTTTATACTTTTACGTACATATTTTTATAATTTAATGTTTATAGTTATTCTAATTATATAGTGATAGTGATGTTTATACTTGAGTTTTAGTAAACTATATGTAGAATAAATGGCACGGAGGCCACACTGGAATGTAGGGTTGTTAATGGAGTCAACGGAGTGCTCCATTAACAACCCTACTGGCATGCCCAATGCCCAGATAGCTTTAGGCATGCCACTTATATATTGATATGATCCGAATATTCTGAGTAAAAATTAGAAACATTTCGAAAGATGATTTTATAGTATATAAGAACTGACCAATCCAAGTTGAATATATTTATTACATAATTTAATGCCATGCCAGAGTGGCATTCTGGTATGAACTTAAGCAAATAATATGTCAAATAGCATACGTGAAAGGTTTTTTAGTCATGCTGCTTACCTTATCTATATAGTAATGTATTTTCTAAATCAGTTAATCAAAAAAAAATTAATAAGTAAAACAAATTATTGTTTTTTAAAAAAAATTAAAAAATTATTTATTTTAACTTTTTTTATTATTATTATTTTTTTATTATATAATATTAAGTAGAAAATAGTAATATATAAGTATATTAATTGGATATGAGTATATAAATAAAATATTTCTAAACTATACTATTGTTGTTATATAATAATGATATTTAGCATGATATTAATCTTTAATTTTTTGTTTTTAGTTAAATCAAGTATCATAATCATTAACTACAAGAAAAGGTAAAAGAAACTCTTAGAATTATTTTAGTTAATAAAAACAGATATATATAATAAAATTTTAGAAAAGAGTTTTAAAAATAAATTAGTTTATATTAGTATTAAATATAAATATATTGTTATTAAAGTTAGAAGTTTATATAATAGATAATTAAGTTTTGTTTTTCTTTTTAGTAGAGATAATAATTCTTTGCATTAATTTCCATTCATGTTGTTTAGTGTTTTGAGTTTACCAAATAATAGAGTTGAATCAGTTAAGTAAAAAGTTGAATAAGAAAATAAGAAAAATATTAGTTTTTTAAGAGTTGATTAAAGTTGTTTATATTGGTCAAAGATTATTATACTTTAAATAAATAGAAGTATTGTATTATATATAGTAGAATTTTAAAAAAAAGGTTTTATCAATTAAAGATTTGTATTATTGTATATGATAAAGCTTCTAAGAAGTTTAATAAGTTTAAGATATTGGAAATTTCATTGATAAGAATGTTTTGTAAATTGTAAGAATAAAGTTAGCATTAAAGTAGATGTTCAGTATTTTCATATTAATTACAATATAAGTAGTTTGAAATTAAGTAAAATAAAAGATAATAAATATTTAAATTTGATATTGTTAATAAGTTATTCAGAAGTATTTTATTTCTAATAAAATAGAGTTTTGAATTAGAATTTTAAAAGTCAATAATTTTAGTAAATAGTAAAATGTTAATAGTAAAAAGAGTTTATAATAATTTAAATTAAAAAAGTTTGTTAAATGTTTAAATAAAAAAGAAATTTTTGTAAAATATATAAAGTTTATATGCAATCAAGATACTTGTACTCTTTCCGATAATCATCTGTACCAAACTTTCCAAAATGCCAAACTACAGAAAATTGATATAGTTAATATATTAAACTCTATGAAAACTTCTCTGAAGCACTGGGCATGCATAGTAGGCATTGAAATAGAGTTGAAAAAGAAGCTATCACTTTGTGATGATGGTTTAAAAGAGCTCTGGAACTATAGAAGAAGTGGTTAGTGAAAACCAAAAGTCTTTTATAAAATAAACAACAGTGTTGAATATATTACTTCTATATAACTGTAAAACTTACAAGGAACACCCAAAAGGGTTAAGCACTCACAAAAGCTATAGTTTGGTTTACTTTACATCTTTACTTTTCTTTGAGGAAAATTTTGTAAAAAGTAGACGATTCAGTTTACCCCTTCCAAAAAATTGATACATAAAACACCAAAACAGTCAACAGTATTTACTTCTTAATCAGGATTGTGTAAACAATACAGCAATACAAACACAATTCATACACGTGCCTTAAACTGCTGAAACCCTGTAAAATACTGTTTCTGGACTAATCAGTACCTAATGCTGACTCTCTATATTCAAGTCAAAGTTTTATCCTATATGGTTTTTGTTAAATATTCTAATAGATAGAAAAATAGTAGAGTTATTTCTA